CAAACATTTTTAGACAAGTGCATCATTACATCAGATCCAGCAACAGGTTTTGATTATTATAATTCCTTATTTTTATTTATGTGTGTACGTTGTTATATATGTTTATGAAATTGCATTTCATTATTTTGCCTGATTTCTTGGTTACACAGATTTTGTTCATTATAAAATTACTATAACAGGCTGCATGTCATAAAATTTATGATTTATTCAAATGCGGATCCTTTTCACAGTTTACACGATCCCACCTACCCCACACTCTTCCTTCTCCCTTTCCCTAATAACATATACATTATTTTTACCATATGTATTAAAGAGAAGATTTTATTAAGTTGTAATAACTTGTTGTCCAATCCATTTGTATATTTGTACAATAAAATATGTTTAGACTAAGTCCCAGGTAAATAAATTGGCAATCACAGACCATGCCACCAGAAAAAATCATGAAATTGACTGGAAAACTACAAAGTTTTGAACAGAGAGAGCAATCTGTTCAAGCGGCAGATAAAGGAAGCCACATATATGTAAATATTAAACGCTAGATATATATACATTGTATCTTACATGTCATTAAACAATGGCACTTCTACATGTAGGTGGACCCTGACTCTTTGTGCAGAAGCACATGTTCGTAGTCGGAGTTGCGTTCAAACTTTATGTTTCGGATGTCAGTAGATATTCTATAATACAGAAGTACCACAGATCTTTTTTAAAATAAAACACACACCGGGATACGTAACCGGACTCTATAAATATTCACAAACAGATTCGGATTTATATTAAGGTCGTTCCAGGTTTTACAAAGTCTTGTTTGCGTGTATATTTCTCCGTGTCTTAGACAATCCTACCCGAACAATCATATATAGTAACGCATCTACATTTAAGAGCACCAACCGCCAATATTTTCCCAGCATTATCCAGTTCAAGAAAATGTTGTAAATGTGTTTCCAATAAAAACCACAGGTTAATGCATGGATGAAACAGCAGATTTCGTGGTAATGGCACATTAAGAAGACGACATCATATGATATTATTGTCTCTACATGTCATATCCTAAACAACTTTCAAAAATCAAATTTTAACAGCGGGAACCTATGACGAAAACCAGTTTTGTTTGGGACTATAGACAACAAACATAAGTATCACTGTTGTACTCAAAGGTTTGCGCCAGGCAATGGCGTCGTGCTCTTTGATAATTATACTTATGTAATTTGCGAGATGATTTCTTATGAAAAAGATTTCGTCATTCTACCTCCCTCTTTATGTCTTTACTAATAATAGATCGATATTCAATCCAGTGTTCGGAAAGACAGATAAAATACATAAATGTATTCAATATCAGACATTAAATGTTTGATCCGTTATATCTTGCCTGTCCTATTTCCTGCTAGGTGATACCGGACTAGTGTTGTTGTAACATAGTTGTATTTTATAATAAAATAAAAGTTCACTATGATTAATTATGAGAGAAGAACCAACAACAAATAATCAGCAAATAATTATACAAACAGAAATGTTAGTGTCACGTAAGGAATCACAGACGTATACAGTAACAAAGCGTGTATGCTAAATTTAAAGCTGACAATGCTTTGTGCCTTTCCGATTGTGACGTTACTTCTTCATTTCAATTCAGATTGTTTATTGCGCACGTCTGATATTTTATATGATACACTATAATATCAAAATTACTAATTTTAAGCGGAGCACCGTACGATTCCTTTGTTTTTCCAAAATATAAAGATATGATACGTACAAGGAATACGTGTCTCGGTATGGCGTTACATACTGTGATATCAGTTTCACAAGTGTTATATATGTCATGGTATGAGCCGTTGTTTAATATGTGAACAACGATATGTTACCTCTATATCAAACATTACATGGGATCCACAGTTTCATCACCAAAGGCAAATATGGCAAAACGCGAACTCCTTCGTTATTATCTATCTCCACAGTAACAAACCGATAGTGAGGAGGTAATGACGCGAACTCCTCCGTTATTATCTATCCCCACAGTAACAAACCGACAGTGAGGAGGTAATGACGCGAACTCCTCCGTTATTATCTATCCCCACAGTAACAAACCGATAGTGAGGAGGTAATGACGCGAACTCCTTCGTTATTATCTATCCCCACAGTAACAAACCGATAGTGAGGAGGTAATGACGCGAACTCCTCCGTTATTATCTATCCCCACAGTAACAAACCGATAGTGAGGAGGTAATGACGCGAACTCCTCCGTTATTATCTATCCCCACAGTAACAAACCGATAGTGAGGAGGTAATGACGCGAACTCCTCCGTTATTATCTATCCCCACAGTAACAAACCGATAGTGAGGAGGTAATGACGCGAACTCCTCCGTTATTATCTATCCCCACAGTAACAAACCGATAGTGAGGAGGTAATGACGCGAACTCCTCCGTTATTATCTATCCCCACAGTAACAAACCGATAGTGAGGAGGTAATGACGCGAACTCCTCCGTTATTATCTATCCCCACAGTAACAAACCGATAGTGAGGAGGTAATGACGCGAACTCCTCCGTTATTATCTATCCCCACAGTAACAAACCGATAGTGAGGAGGTAATGACGCGAACTCCTCCGTTATTATCTATCCCCACAGTAACAAACCGATAGTGAGGAGGTAATGACGCGAACTCCTCCGTTATTATCTATCCCCACAGTAACAAACCGATAGTGAGGAGGTAATGACGCGAACTCCTCCGTTATTATCTATCCCCACAGTAACAAACCGATAGTGAGGAGGTAATGACGCGAACTCCTCCGTTATTATCTATCCCCACAGTAACAAACCGATAGTGAGGAGGTAATGACGCGAACTCCTCCGTTATTATCTATCCCCACAGTAACAAACCGATAGTGAGGAGGTAATGACGCGAACTCCTCCGTTATTATCTATCCCCACAGTAACAAACCGATAGTGAGGAGGTAATGACGCGAACTCCTCCGTTATTATCTATCCCCACAGTAACAAACCGATAGTGAGGAGGTAATGACGCGAACTCCTCCGTTATTATCTATCCCCACAGTAACAAACCGATAGTGAGGAGGTAATGACGCGAACTCCTCCGTTATTATCTATCCCCACAGTAACAAACCGATAGTGAGGAGGTAATGACGCGAACTCCTTCGTTATTATCTATCCCCACAGTAACAAACCGATAGTGAGGAGGTAATGACGCGAACTCCTTCGTTATTATCTATCCTCACAGTAACAAACCGATAGTGAGGAGGTAATGACGCGAACTCCTTCGTTATTATCTATCCTCACAGTAACAAACCGATAGTGAGGAGGTAATGACGCGAACTCCTTCGTTATTATCTATCCTCACAGTAACAAACCGATAGTGAGGAGGTAATGACGCGAACTCCTTCGTTATTATCTATCCTCACAGTAACAAACCGATAGTGAGGAGGTAATGACGCGAACTCCTTCGTTATTATCTATCCTCACAGTAACAAACCGATAGTGAGGAGGTAATGACGCGAACTCCTTCGTTATCTAGCCCTTACAGTAATTACCCGATAGGGAAGAGGTTATTCAGAATGACACAAATGTCGCAATAATCATAATATGAAAATCGAACAGCTTGTGTCGGTCCCATCGGGTATCGTACGCGTACGTCGCCTCTGGTTTGTGTATCATTGATAAAAATACACTTATTTCTGAAAATCCTCGACAAAAAGTTCACTAGGCCAATTGATATAAAACCTTCCGATAGCAATGTGAACAGGCAATCGCACGCATATGTGATTCTGATGCAAACGCATTGCACGAATCGGATGAACCATTCATAAAATAAACGAGTGCAATCTGAGGCGTCGGATAAACTCATATGGATTTTTTTTTTTTTTTAAATACGCACAGACATTTTTATGAACAAATTATATTTTCGTATTGATCATCTTGTAGTACTGTTTAATTTGCTTCCGAAAATTTGAGCCGAACAATAATGTTGGACAAAACTACTCGAGGGCGGTCTTATGGCGTCACGTTCCCATAGCGTAAACTGGCACTAAAATGTTCGTAATCCATTCTTGTTTTACTTCGTCTACTTGGTCAGAGGATAACAACCGATGAGTTCGAGCAAAAAAGTGGTTCTGGCTACTGGAGCCATACAATATATTTGTATTGTCAAAGTGTGAAGTGCAGAATCTTGTATCACCAGGTATGTACGTCCTCGGACATTTTGACTAAAAATTAGCAGTTTTTGGAAAAGAATATTTTTTTCTTAATAATTTTCAAACCAAATGATGGATACATATATATAAAAATAATATTGCTGCTGCTGCTGCTGCTGCTGCCTCTGTACGTTGAAACATTCCCATTATGATAAATATAATCTAAGATTAATAGAAGGCGCTCGCGTTAATGTCATATTTGTTAATACTCGCTTATAATTACGCGATTTTAGATTGTTAAGTCAGATATATTTTCATATACTACATAGATTAATCGTCTTGTTAAAGACAGCACACTTTCATTGATGAGGGCCGTGTTTTATCTTAATCTGTGGAGAGGAACCCGTAATGCCGACTTCCAACATACTTCCGTCGTCAATTACCGGCGGCTGTCACGTGACAGCTATAAAAGTACCGTACATTTACCACGAGCCGCCGGGACAAGCATCCTGTAGGTACAAGCTTGTTTGTTTGTCCGAGATAAAAATTGGGGAGTTTGAAATTCCACGGAGACTGAAAGTGTCTTGACATACATAGAATTTGCCGACCATACACTGTTGTGGGAACGCCAGAGCTGTCAACTAGAACTGGACTCGATAAATTATTTCAACTGATGGCACACAGGGCTTTATCTCACAACTTCAGTGGATACATTCTGAGTAAGTGACAGTTGTATTCCCTTCCTCCTGGATACATTTACGTGACATAAACACGAGCTTGATAACATTCAGTGAGGATATACATTCAGGGAACATATTTTTGGAGAAACTAACTATATTTGTCCTTCGAACGTGTTCATGAAAGGTAAGTTATGATACCTTTAATAGATCTTTTGTTAATTGGTGGCGTTATTCAACTTTCCGTATTTTTTCAAAATTTAAGCAATTTGTTATCTATAACTAATTGAAAATCTAACAATATATGTAACGTACAAAACGACATTGAATTCATCGCAGTTATTCTCTTCCGTTTTGTATAGGTACCCTGTGAAGAGTGTGGCGAGTATGACGACTACTCTCGACCCAAACTAATTGGGAAGTACACTGAAGCCATAGTCCACCTACCATGAATACTCAAATCTGCCTCCTAGTCCTCTTACTTAGCACCGGATACAGCCTAGGTATGTTTTAGATATCCCTTTGTATATTTCAAACCTGATATAACCAGATATGCTTCACACTGGATATAGTTAAGGAACTTCTCACACCGGAAATACCCTAGTTATGTTTCATACGTGATATAACCTCGATATGTCTCACAAGATAAAGCATAGGTACGTCTCACACCGGAAATGTAGTATTGGTACGTCTCTCACCGGAAATACCATAGATATGTGTCACACCGGAAATAGTATTGGTACGCTTCACACCGGAAATACCCTCGATATGTTTGTCACGTAGGATATAGTATTGATACGTCACACACCGGAAATACCCTAGATAAGTTTCAAATCTGATATAAATATATCATAGGTACGTCTCACACCGGAAATACCCTAGATAGGTGTCACATACGGATATAAATGTCATAGGTACGTCTCACACCGGAAATACGCTAGATTAGTGTCACATCGGATATAGATATATCATAGGTACGTCTCACACAACGGAAATACCCTAGATCATTTTCAAATCGGATATAGATATATCATAGTTACGTCTCACACCGGAAATGCCCTAGATAGGTGTCACATACGGATATAAATATCATAGGTACGTCTCACACCGGAAATACCCTAGATAAGTGTCACATCGGATATAGATATGTCATAGGTACGTCTCACACCGGAAATGCCCTATATAATTGTCACATGCGGATATATATACATCATAGGTGCGTCTCACACCGGAAATGCCCTAGCTAAGTGTCACTTTTCATAATTATGTCCGTAACGCACTAATATATAATTATCTCCGTAACGCACTAACTTATAATTATGTCCGCAACGCACTAATTTATAATTATGTCCGTAACGCACAAACTTGTTATTATGTCCGTGACGCACTAACTAATAATTATGTCCGAAACGCACTAATTTAGAATTATCTTCGTAACGGAATAACCTATAATTATGTCCGCAACGCACTTACTTATAATTATGTCCGTAACGCACTAATTTATAATTATGTCCGTAACGCACTAATTTATAATTATGTCCGTTACGCACTAATTTATAATTATGTCCGTTACGCACTAACTTAAAATTATATCCGTAACGCACTAATTTATAATTATGTCGGTAACACACTAACTTATAATTATGTCCGTAACACACTTACTTATAATTATGTCGGTAACGCACTAACTTATAATTATGTCCGTAACGCACTAACTTATAATTATGTTCGTAACGCACTAACTTATAATTATGTCCGTAACACACAAACTTATAATTATTTCCGTAACAAACTAACTTATAATTATGTCCGTAACACACTAACTTATAATTATGTCGGTAACGCACTAACTTATATTTATGTCCGTAACGCACTAACTTTTAATTATGTCCGTAACACACAAACTTATAATTATGTCCGTAACGCACTAACTTATGATTATGTCCGTAACACACTAACTTATAATTATGTCGGTAACGCACTAACTTATAATTATGTCGGTAACGCACTAACTTATAATTATGTCCGTAACACATTAACTTATAATTATGTCCGTAACACACTAACTAATAATTATGTCCGTAACACACTAACTTATAATTATGTCCGTAACACACTAACTTATAATTATGTCCGTAACACACTTACTTATAATTATGTCCGAAACGCACTTACTTATAATTATGTCCGTAACGCGCTAACTTATGATTATGTCCGTAACACACTAACTTATAATTATGTCCGTAACACACTAACTTATAACTATGTCCGTATTGCACTAACTTATAATTATGTCGGTAACGCACTAACTTATAATTATGTCCGTAACGCGCTAACTTATAATTATGTCCGTAACGCACTAACTTATAATTATGTCCGTAACAGACTAACTTATAACTATGTCCGTATTGCACTAACTTATAATTATGTCCGTAACAGACCTACTTATAATTATGTCCGTAACAGACCTACTTATAATTATGTCCGTAACACACTAACTTATAACTCTGTCCGGAACGCACTAACTTATAATTATGTCCGTAACACACTAACTTATAACTATGTCCGTAACGCACTAACTTATAAGTATGTCCGTAACGCACTAACTTTTAATTATGTCCGTAACGCACTAACTTATAACTATGTCCGTAACGCACTAACTTATAATTATGTCTGTTCCTTCTATGTTCTCTCTATGGCATTCCTTATCTTGCTTTTAGTCATTGTTATGTACCCTTGGATTTAATGTGGGAACTCCTTGCAGAATTGGGGATTGTCTTTGTGCCAGACTTGGGGACACAAAAGCGACCAAATAAATCTGCTGCACCCATTGCAACAATTGGGATCTTTATCTTTCTTTCTACTTCTATCTGCGTTACCTTTTATTTCCTAGCGCCTTGCTCGGCAACACCTCACTTTTGGCTTAATATTGAGCGTTCGCCCAGGTGAGGAAGGCAAATACACCAACATACCCTGTCTCCTGCATACACACATGCACGCTTACACAACACACATGGAGGCACATCCTCAAATGACCTCAGCTATTAATAGGACGTTAAACAAAGAAAAACCAAACCAAACCAAATTACAACGCTTGTATTTGTGTGAATGATCATACACATTCACACTAACCATCCAACACATTATTTTGATTATAAACGATTAAGACTAACCCAAAAAATATCTGCGATGGACAAAAATAATATAAGTTTCCATATATCACTTAATTGATATACTGATGTTACACAGGTGCGAAATTCTCGAGTCAGTGCCTCAGTAATACAGACTGTCCTGAGAATGCCGAGTGTATGATCCGGGGTTGTGATGGCAGTATATGTCTTTGTAACCTCAACTACATACCTACAGACGACTACTCAAGGTGCATCAGAGGTAGGTATCGTAATACATATGTAGCTATCATATTCAGCTACAGGGAGAATACTTTCACACAAACATAATGCCAATTCTTTTAGTGTATTTTGACGAGGACGGACCTCACTTTATTATGAACACATTCAAATAGTATTACATTTGTGCTGCTTGCAAAGGAAGGTTGTCCACTTTAATGTACTTCAGTGGACCGTAACAAAAAGGTTGATTTTTTGAAGAAACTAAATCTGGGGTTACGCTATCATAAAATGTGGCTTCATTTTGGATCAGTTAGTCGCTGCTTCGAAAAAAATGAGGGAATTGTGTTAATTAAAGAAGGAAAAATGTGTTATTTTATTGAGATAGTTATAAAAAAACCTATAGCTGTAATTTTCAAAATATGTATCTGGTAGTTAAAAACTAAGTGTCTTTTACTTGAAGGTATCCTGTAACCCCCATTAAAATAAATAAGGTCACTGCTGCTCGGTTCAAAATGTCCGGTTCATCTCGTTTTGTTATTTAGTAGGAAACATGCTGACCGCATGGACCTCAAATGTCTTTTATTTTTCAACATCTAAATGACGTTCAAAGATAATTTGAATTTGAATTATTTGAATGCATATTATCAAGCGGGGTACATATAGTTCTAACTTCAATCAAAATGTTTATAACATCAAAGCTTCAGTTTCTTTTTAATCGCCTCAATAAAATACAACATTTAGGGGTTTTCAACTCCCCGTATCTTTCTTTACAAAGATTTACTGATACCAAAAAAAAGAGACCACATTTCATAATGTATAAACCTAAGACTTTTTTGCAAGAAAAATAATCAAGCTTCTCTTTTCCTGAAAAAAGAAACAATGTTTTTTTCTAAATTTGATATTGATATCCTCTAGCCTTGGTCATAATAGAACTGATATGTTTCAGTCATCAGCTTTATACAAGTTATGTATACTGTTTCACACAATATTATATAAAATATCGTCATACGTAATGACAACATTGATAATGAATTAAAATTTTAACTTTCTCTCAAGTTTCTTAGTCAAATGTACTGGGAAATCCTTTGGAATCCGGGTCAACATGAAACTTTATAAACAGGACTTAAAATTAAACTGGTTTCAAACATATTTAAAACAGAAGCTAATCCGCGATTAGTTTCGTCGATTTATCAGTTGGTAGAAATTCTTCCTTCAGATTCACAGCCTGAAGTGAACAAATACCGTCACAGCCTCTTTAGCAAACAAACCGCTAGATAGCACTGGTATTACCTTGTCTAAATCTTACATTTCTCTGTACTCGATACGAGTGTGGACCGGCAGTAAATATTTACTGCGGGATTACACCGGAACTGGGACGACGCCAGGTAGAAACAATGTGTATTCCGGACTTTAGTAGACCAGGAGCACAAACAAAGCGAAAGATAGAATATTTCTTTTACTCTGACTGAAAATCGATTAAGACACGTGTAGGTTTTTGTTTAAACACAATCTTTACCTGCTATCTCTGTTGTCCTTTTTGGCTATAATTTGAGATATTTTTGTTAATTTTTTTCTCTCAAAGATTTCGTTCTCAATCTAGTATTCACCCTTTAAAATGAATTTGGAAAAAAAATGATTGCACTGTTCAAAAAACGATTCAAGTCACACTCAACATATGCATCTTAATCAATAATACGTGATACATTCTCTTGTCCTGTTTTGCAAACAAAACCCGTAATGCTTATTATTACTTAAATAATGGATTGTTTTATTGCTACCCTAAAAGTAATAAGATTACTAATTAAAATAGGCAATGAAGTGTTTATTTATTCAGGCTCCTCCTTCAACACTAGGAACCAGGTATACCACTTTGATAATCTATTTATTTTATATCAAAAACCTCATTGTACTTTATAATTAAACAGCTTATTAGTTAGTTCTTATTTTAAAAAAATGACTTTTCACTCTGCTCTAAAGTAAAACTCATTATTGTTCATTCAGTTGCTGAATTGGGTGAAAAATGCAGTGAGACAAGCCGGTGCCGGGGGATCAGAACTCGGTGTGCTGACAATGGTACTTGTCAGTGTCAGAGCGGTTACACCCCTTCTGGTTCATACAAGAGCAGAACATTATGTAAAAAGGTGCTAACGGACGGGTCGTACGCCCTACTAGGGGAGAGGTGTGATCTTCGTGCGATCACGTGCGAGGAAACGGATACCCAGTGTGTCAACGGCACGTGCATTTGTAAAGAGAACTTCCGTACAGCTACACAAGAAGAGAAAAATGCTTATCCTTTTAATTTCTTTCAGTGCGTCAAGAAAGACTTTAAATTGAGTAAGTTCATATCTACTCCATCTTAATTCTAAGGAAAACATTTTACACAGTTTGTAGTCAATCGTACAGGGGTTAAATTCTTCAGTTGTAGTAGGTGTATGGATTAGGTAACAGGGTTGTCTTAAGTTTTTAATCTCTCATATCATTATCAAATGTGTATTAATGTTAATTTAATATATAGTATAACTTTACGATCAATTTTAAATTAAGATAATTCAGTTTCAAAATAATTTTACAGAAGACGCGAAGTCGCATAAGACGAAGACTTTCAATGCGAATACAATTTTTGTTGAATCTGTATGAAATTTTTACAATGCAATAGTTGTCATCTATCTTATGTCCTTTTCATTTCAGATGTTTTGGTGGCGCAAAGTGAATGTAGTTTATTTCCAGGTAAATGATATGTTTATTATTCAGTCAATGCTGAAGTAGTATCCCAAGCTTTTGAAACTACACTTACTACACCATTGGTAATACATAAATGAGTCTTAGGAACTTAAAATGGCGCCTTTGTACTGCTTAATTATATTTGATAGAGCTTGGTCTTCGCTCAATGGTAATCGCAAATGAACTTTACTTTAAAATGACCAGGTACATCGTATTGTAACACAAACTATGTAACTTACATTGTACTACATGTATTACGAACTAGGATCTTCTTTTTATTTTCCTTTTAATAAATACATAATGACGTAGAACCATTCTGACTGCCGGGAGTCTAATTATACCAATAATAGTTCTTGACATAAACAGATATTGCCAAAAGGATTAAGACGAATAAACATTTTACTTAACATTTTCGTTTTCTCACAATGTACCCAAATATAGTTACTTTGCAATACTTTTGCTTTTAAGAATACAAGAACCTTATCAAGGAAACGCGGTATAGTATAGATAAGTGTGTGTTTTGCTTACGCAGACCCTACAACTATATAACCATCACCTCATTGTTGACCCCAATGTTTGAGAATGTCGATAAAGGTGAACCTGTAGTGTTGTGTATTTTAGCACATCAAAAAGGATTATTCTTGTTATTTTTCCCAAGCTCCAGCCCATCCTGCGGTGAATACACAAGTCTTGTCAACGACGACCACACGACCATTATCAACCATCAACGGCTTAACTTCCGGCTTGTTGTTAGCATCACAAACGGCCTCGGCGTCCATTTTTACTCCCTCCACACCAGCTTTAAAGCAAACTGTGTCATCAGAGTCATTTGTAAGTTTGACAAACATGTCATCCTCATTATCGTCTCCATTCAATACGGATGCTACCTTATCAAGCGTTATGCCGACGGCGTCGAACGTAACCTCGCCAACGACAGGTGAATTTCACACTGTTGTTACGAAATCATCTACAGGTGGAATTGATTTGTTTGCGAGTACGCAAAGGACAACCATATCACGCACACTGAGCATTTCACCAAGTTCGAAAATTTCTTTATCAGAAACAACGTTGTTTACACCAAGTTTAAACAGTAAGCAAATACTATCATCCCGGACAGTAACCGCAACGCCGATCCGGATCACACTATCTACGTCAACAGTCACAGCCAAAACCTCAATTGCAATTACAACCAATAAGTTACAAACTGTCCAATTACTGACTTATCCACCGGACTTCTCGTCACGGCCGTCAGCTAATCCAATGGATTCCTCGGCATTAGTGACCTCTACAGAAAATACTACCCCTCTAAAGTCATCGGAATCTATTTATCTAACGACAGGGTATCAGTATGGTACCCCGATTGTCACGGGTATCCATAGTAACATAGCCACTAGTATGGTAACTGTCATGCCTACTAGTGTTATAATGAGCCAATCGAATCATCTAATGACTTCGTCCGTAGTTTTGCAACCCACATCCTCGGCCAACCATAATCCGTCTCCTTCAAGTTCCTCTCCGGGAACAACTGTTCTTTCTACAACACCAAAAGTTGGTAAGTAAAAATACTTATATTGAATATCTAAAGTATTCACACTAAAAATGTATCCTTGTTCACCAGGTAAATGCGTTACTTACATAGAATGGCGATACTGTTTTTATTGATCAAACCGTTTGTAAGCTGAGCCGAATAGAGATTTAAAAAATGTGTTGTTTTAAATTGCGATTTATGTGATGTGCAATATTCTTCGTGCTAATGTTATTACGTCATTCTAGAGGTGATCGGCAACGAGTGTTTCAAGGGCCATATTTGTCCTCCAAATTCCATGTGTGAACCTGACCTTTGTGGGAAACATAGATGTCGCTGTTCCTCAGGCTACATCGTCCACAATGGCGGGACAGAGTGCATACCACGTGAGTAAATAAGGTGTCACGTGATCATCAATACCGTGATTAGAAATTAAGATCACTTCAACGTTTGTTGAAATTAGATAAGAAGACTGTCACGTGAACAAGAATAATTCAATTACTAGATCTGTCACTTGAGTAAAAATACAATACACAACAATAAATTGTACTTCAGTTACAAGTAGTCACGTGAGAAGAAATCAGATAATTACTTGTAGAGTTTCGTGAGTAATAAAATATTGACCTGACGTAGAAGATTATTTTATATAATTTCCATATGAATATAACTAAAACATTTACCTTTCCAGTTTCCTCCCTTGGGTCGGCTTGCGAGTCTGATGTGCAGTGTATTGGACCGAACACAAAATGTCATAATGGCGCATGCACTTGTGAATCAAATTATATACTTAACAACGACAAAAAACGTTGCAAAAGGGACACCACCTGGTTTGTGGCCTTCCCGCTTCTTCATGGGAAATGTAAAAACTTCTTTGCGGATTGCTACAATGACTTTGAACAAGAGTGCTCTGCCGGAAGATGCAAATGTAGATATGGATTAAGGGAAGCTACTCTTGGTGACATTTACACTAAACATAAGAGCTTCGCACAGTGCCGAAACTCCACACTCCCAACAGGTACATATCAATACATATATATGATGTTGTCTTCAAAACGATAAATTTTATTTTGAATTCATCACTTTCAAAATTCTAGCAGAGAACTTTTTTAGAATCGGCGAACATAAGGTTTTGATAGTTAATGATCTAGAATCCAATGTTGTGTTTCGTAAAACAACAAACCAATATGTAGTAGATTTACAGTTAGTGTACGAAAGTCGTATTGTGTGATAAGTTCTATTATCTATAGGATATAAATAGAGATATTGTATCAGTTATCATTTCATGTAAGACTTATAAAAAGATTCAAGGATTTACTTTTTCATTTTAGCGAGCCTCTAAATCTCATACGAAATGGGAAGAAACTTTAGATCATTTTTTATCACATAATCAAGATGTATTGCTGATATCGTGAACAACACGCTTCTCCAGGTCATTCATTGGTATCAAATTTCGTCATCTTAGCTCTCCGTTGTACCGTTACTTTCATCTGGTAGTAAATTCATTATCATTTGATGACGTCAGAAAAGGTCGTAATGCATGAGTTCATACCCAAAAACTATCTAGATGTATTCTCTAAATAACGCAGTTCTCTTGAACTCATACGAAACATAAAATGTTATATATTACCTAATATGTGATCTAATACATACCGTGTTATTCTGAAATTTTTTCGTATTCATGGTTTTGCTTTAAACGATTTATTGAGATGAATTTACCAATTGGATTTTAATATTAATATCAATTAAGTAATTGATGAGGATTTGAAATACTGACGTGAATGTTTTTGCGCAGATTTTACTAAATGACGTGAATTTCGATGATGACGTGTATTTGAGTTATTGATGTAAGTTTGAATCTTGACGCAGATTGGCATCATTAGTATTAACGTAGATTCAACAAATAACATGCATTGGAATACTAACATTGATTTGGATTTGAATGGTACCATCTAAACAATACTGATTTCCATTTAAGGCTTATTTTTTGTTGTCTCGTTTCTTTGCTAACAACAACATTCCTGACAGAGGTTCATTGTGTCTGTTGCTTTGTTTTGGTATTTCGATTGTTTTTCAGATTTTATCGTAAATACACTGTGCTTGTAATGTGTTTTAGATAACAGAATGAATTGTATTAAGGACCTGTTTTATATCATACTATAGAAATTGTAGTTAGCATAGTGTTACATCTTATACTATATGAACTGTGTTTATAACCTGTTTTACATGGCCCTATACACTTTGCTTATAACCGCTTTTAATGTTTAACTGTTATAATTGATAATATAAACTGTGTTAAGGACCTGTTTTACACGATAATATAAACTGTGTTAAGGACCTGTTTTACTTGATGATATAAACTGTCAAGGACCTGTTTTACACGATACTATAAACTGTGGTAAGGACCTGTTTTACTTGATGATATAAACTGTGTTAAGGAACTGTTATACACGATACTATAAACTGTGTTAAGGACCTGTTTTACTTGATACTATAAACTGTGTTAAGGACCTGTTTTACTTGATACTATAAACTGTGTTAAGGAACTGTTATAATTGATAAAATAAACTGTGTTAAGGACCTGTTTTACACGATAATATAAACTGTGTTAAGGACCTGTTTTACACGAGACTATAAACTGTGTCAAGGACCTGTTTTACACGATACTATAAACTGTGGTAAGGACCTGTTTTACTTGATAATATAAACTGTGTTAAGGACCTGTTTTACACGATACTATAAACTGTGATAAGGACCTGTTTTAGATGATACTATAAACTGTGATAAGGACCTGTTTTACTTGATAATATAAACTGTGTTAAGGAACTGCTATACTTGATAATATAAAATGTGTTAATGCCCTGTTTTACACGATACTATAAACTGTGATAAGGACCTGTTTTAGATGATACTATAAACTGTGATAAGGACCTGTTTTACACGATACTTTAAACTGTGATAAGGACCTGTTTAACACGATACTATAAACCGTGTTCAGGACCTGTTTTACATGATACTATAAACTGTGTTAAGGACCTGTTTTACACGATACTATAAACTGTGATAAGGACCTGTTTTACACGATAATATAAACTGTGTTAAGGACCTGTTTTACACCATACTATAAATTTTGATAAGGACCTGTTTTACACGATACTATAAACTGTGATAAGGACCAGTTTTACACCATACTATAAACTGTGTTAAGGACCTGTTTTACACGATACTATAAACTGTGTTAAGGACCTGTTTTATATGATACTTTAAACTCTGATAAGGACCTGTTTTACACCATACTATAAACTGTGCTAAGGACCTGTTTTACACGATACTATAAACTGTGTGAAGGACCTGTTTTACACGATACTATAAATTGTGTTAAAGACCTGTTTAACACGATATTATAAACTGTGTTAAGGACCTGTTTTTTACGATACTATAAACTGTGTTAAGGACCTGTTCTATACGATACTAAAGACTGTGTTAAGGACTTGTTTTACATGATACTATAGACTCTGTTTATGACCTGTTTTAGATGATACTATAGACTATGTTAAGGACCTGTTTTACACGATACTATAAACTGTGTTAAGGACCTGTTTTACATGATACTATAAACTGTGTAAAGGACCAGTTTTACACGATACTATAAACTGTGATAAGGACCTGTTTTACGCCATACTATAAACTGTGATAAGGACCTGTTTTACACGATACTTTAAACTGTGATAAAGACCTGTTTAACTAGATACTATAAACCGTGTTAAGGACCTGTTTTACATGATACTATAAACTGTGATAAGGACCTGTTTTACGCCATACTATAAACTGTGATAAGGACCTGTTTTACACGATACTTTAAACTGTGATAAAGACCTGTTTAACACGATACTATAAACCGTGTTAAGGACCTGTTTTACATGATACTATAAACTGTGTTAATGACCTGTTTTACACGATACTATAAACTGTGATAAGGACCAGTTTTACACCATACTATAAACTGTGTTAAGGACCTGTTTTACACGATACTATAAGCTGTGTTAAGGACCTGTTTTATATGATACTTTAAACTGTGATAAGGACCTGTTTTACACGATACATTAAACTGTGATAAAGACCTGTTTAACACGATACTATAAACCGCGTTAAGGACCTGTTTTACATGATACTATAAACTGTGTAAAGGACCTGTTTTACACGATACTATAAACTGTGTTAAGGACCTGTTTTACACGATACTATAAACTGTGTTAAAGACCTGTTTTACACGATATTATAAACCGTGTTAAGGACCTGTTTTTTACGATACTATAAACTGTGTTAAGGACCTGTTCTATACGATACTAAAGACTGTGTTAAGGACCTGTTTTATATGATACTTTAAACTGTGATAAGGACCTGTTTTACACGATACTATAAACTGTGTGAAGGACCTGTTTTACACGATACTATAAACTGTGTTAAAGACCTGTTTTACACGATATTATAAACTGTGTTAAGGACCTGTTTTTTACGATACTATAAACTGTGTTAAGGACCTGTTCTATACGATACTAAAGACTGTGTTAAGGACCTGTTTTATATGATACTTTAAACTCTGATAAGGGCCTGTTTTACACCATACTATAAACTGTGTTAAGGACCTGTTTTACATGATACTATAAACTGTGTAAAGGAACTGTTTTATATGATACTTTAAACTCTGATAAGGACCTGTTTTACACCATACTATAAACTGTGATAAGGACCTGTTTTACACGATACTATAAACTGTGTTAAGGACCTGTTTTACACGATACTATAAACTGTGTTAAAGACATGTTTTACACGATACTATAAACTGTGTTAAGGACCTGTTTTATACGATACTATAAACTGTGTTAAGGACCTGTTCTATACGATACTATAGACTGTGTTAAGGACCTGTTTTACATGATACTATAGGCTCTGTTTATGACCTGTTTTAGATGATACTATAGACTATGTTAAGGACCTGTTTTATACGATACTATAAACTGTGTTATTGACATATGAATTTTGTTTATGATCTGTTATTTTTGCCAAAATTAAAATTTGCTATAAAAGGGTTGTTTTCTTATAAGTGACGTTATCATCAGTCTATTATCTTTATAGACTACCGTCCTTCCGCTAGTTGTGACGGAGATTTGATACAAATAGAACCTGATCCAACATTGGAAGACGCACATCGAAGTAAGTATCCGACAATATATTATCTATACAAGTTTGAAGATAATCGTTCATTTTTTACGGGTCGTGTATGTCAAAAAGTCAAAGTCAACTCATTTTTGTTTGAATATGTTGAATTATTACAAATCACCTTCTCCTTGGCAACTCAATTTTTACAATAAACGTATTGGAACACATCATTATCTACATATCGCTAAAACTTCAAACGCAAATTTGATTGACAGTCGGCTATTGATACGTCAATCGGAAGGAACTAAAACAATGTTTTAATAAGAATAGCGCTAAATGCAAATAAGACGGGTTTTTTAAAAGTAAACCTTGATATTGAAGGCTCAAATATAGAAAATTTCTTTGCGTAACTTCAGTCGGGTGTTGTAAGTATATTTTATTTCCTAGAAATCAACGTTATGAAGGGAGCTGTCATCGGAGGTATATGTGGATTTGTGATCCTCCTAGCGTCGGCCATAGCAACTATACTACTGGTGCGGCACAAACGAAGGTGGGGTTGCTTAAACGTCATCAGACCCGTATCCTGAAATACTTATCTACATTGCTTGTTGCTGGCATAGATGTTTTATGAATGAAAACTGCACCGGAAAGACAGTATGAAATGTCGGACTTAAAAACAAAACAATATCATAAGAAAATGTATGTTATATATATGTAATTTTAAGCTGTCTGTAATTAACAACTTACCAAGAGCAGCATTTTTTTAATTGAGAATAAACATTACAATGATACTTATACAAAATCTTTGAAGAATTCAATATATTCATTGCTTGATTTGAGTAATACATCCTATATAATAACTTATAAATAGATATACGAGATCGTCAACACTTATCCATTCATGTCTTACAGGACGAAGATTCGCCACATTAGGACAGACACAACATCACTGAATTCCTTTGATCGACGGTCAAGCGGAAAGTACTCATTCCGACTCCCTCGACCTTTTGCATTTGATCTTGGCAAAGACAAAGAGTGGGAGGCAGAGCATCTGTCTGTCCATAATTCTGAGTTTGAACCAACCACAGACAGTGACACTGTTCTTACTTTAAAGGACTCCGATAGTCCACCAATGAATGGGACGTTTTCAAATCCAGTTGACGTATCAGACATTCCTTCTGTACATGGATCAAGATGATACTAAATGCCATTACACATTCACAATTCTACACAGACTGTGGGCCTGAAGATAAACATTGGCTGCTACCAGCTTTTAACTTCCATGATAAAGACAATCTCCACGTTCTCAGCAAGTGACTGGTCCATGAATTATAACTTCGAAGCGTTTTCCGTTTTATATTTAGTTATTATGATTCGGCAAAAATACTTCCTTCCAGTATCTATGTGTTTTTGTCACATCGACACATGTTTTATTTGGAGAAAAGTCATGTATCAAAATCGGTATGTTTCTGTATATTTATCTACGAGATATCGACTTAAACATTAATGATGTCAAGATCATAAAATAATGTGTCCATAAAAACCTTACTGATTGAATAAACAATCAAAATTTGAATAGCTGGTCATCTGACCAGTTCTATACAAAGGTAAAGGACAAAAGGCTAGAGGCGTACCGAATTTGTCCATATTTATATATCTGCATTATGAACGGGTATACAATATTATGTAATATATTTATATTTATATTTTATAACATCTTATGTGCATATTCATATCATTCATTTATCTATGAACGTACATATATACTTTTGTTTTTAAAATCAGAAATTAAGATTATCTTTTAAAGCAACATTATTGTAATTAAATAACATCAAACTGGTGGTTGTGTATTATGTAATGATAACGAAAAGACAATTCCACCATACTCTGAATATATCCTTTTATTTATATAAAAAAAAAGCATTACAGCATATCTCCACAAATGATAATTCATGCTTTCCGATTGTTCTTGTGATTCGTAAACATTTCCTTAAAATCTTATAATTTTCTCTATAAAATGGATAATACATTTGTATGTGTGTATGATCGTCAATACACGTTTCACAAAACATCTGTTAGAGCCAATGAAGATCAATAATAGTTTTTCATCCAAGCAGAAAACGAGTTATGCCAAGACAATCGAAGACTAACTAGACAGAGATACTCCGCCATATTTGTATCAAGCCTCGATGAATATACATTTACTTTTAGGTTTTTTCATTGATGGCTGAAGCTGGAAGTGACGGTGAAACTAACAATAAACTATCACAGAACAGTACTACACTGTATAATAGATTAATAGTCGAACAATTTACGTTGACAATATTGGTACATGTTGACGAATAAAATGTTAATGACAAACTATATTTGTACCCCCGTAAGGCGCTAGAGATTTACAGTAGATACGGGAAATAGACAAATAAGCATTGTATGTTAACTCATGCTAGTATGTGAATGTATTTACCACTACGTCCGATTGTGTGTCGATATATGAGGTTTTTGTTTTGTTTTTGTTTTATCTATTTATAGTTTTGGTAATTGTTTGCATCATTATAAAGAGTGATCATTGTTTACTTCGAATTAAAATGTTGATATTTCATTGTTCACGTTGATAAAAACATTGATCGTTGTTCACATCGAATAAAAAATAGCTTATTGTTTACGTCGAGTTAAAGTGCTAAGTTCACATGGTTCACATCCAAATAAAGAATTGCTCATTATCCACATCGAGTTAGTGTGTTTAATTAACATGGTTCACATCGAAATAAAGAAATTTCCGTTGTTCACGTCGATTTAAAGTGTTTGATTGACATTGTTTACTCTGAAACATTGCACTGATCAGAGAGATACAATTTTTGTTTAACTTGACCATCAGTGAAAATCAGTGTTACATTGAATACCACATTCTGACTACATTGTTTGGTCAAATCAAATATCATTTGGGTTCATATTCGCCTACGTGACGGCATCCGGTTGAAGAAAGGTAGACAGTGTTAATACATAATTCTTTTAATAAATATATACAACTTTTAATATAGATGTATCATATATTTATGTAAAACATTACCAAAATAATAAAATAAACCCAACACCAGTCCCAAGTCATAGGAGAACTTATATACACAGGGTACAATTGTACAGGAATATAAAAATCGTGCTCAAAACGTTTCAAACATTGATCATAATCAAATTTGAATAATTGTATTACTTGTTGATATACAAATAAATTAACAATATATATATTATGTATTGATGTACCCAAGTAAGTGCACTGACTCTTAGGTCAATGTTAAGTAAAATTGGAGCAGCATAGAAATTATTCGTATTCTTGACACTTATATATACAAATTATAAAAAAACTGACCATCGGTAGTATGTAAGCACACATCAAAGTTATTGTAAGTTACATTTTTTTTTTTTTTTTTCAAAACATATTTGTATTAAATATTCAACACATGTTGGCATATGTATTATAGAAACCACGTATACACTCCATATTTTACAATACAAGTTTATATTTATAATGTATATAGAGTTGAGGAAAACGTTTAAGAGATATTATGTGAGGATAAATACGTATTTAAATACAGTAGCGAACGGCGTCACGAGAAGACCCCGCAAAAGAACAATGATATTTATCATAATGGAAGTGATTGAACCATCCGTAAATATTATAATGGTTGTAATTATTGAGGAGTATCGGTTACAAGTCTTCTATAATATCTTCTGATAAGCTTCCTATTACATTTTTATGTCTACGCTGACAAAGTCAATTTTCCACTTATTAAAAGCGCCACAAACGAAAACAGTACGTTAAGAATTGGAACATGTTAACGTCAAGGTCCCCTTATGATTACTATAGTATGGACCACGAGTATTAGCAGTGATATATTAAGATTCGGCTACATTGGCTGCTGTCTCTGTCCGTGTTTTACTATATCGGAACACAAATATAAGTAATCATAAAATGGTGCTATGTCATGGCAGACTAAAAATGTGTGTTTTTGACATTACCTCCCGTACTGCTCTTTCTCCCGGATGAAGTATTGACGTTATTTTGGTCTATAATTGATTTTCCATCACTGCCTGAACCTTTCTCCTGAGTCTCGCTTCTACCATTCGAAGCGACATTCTTTTTTTCTTCTTTAGCTCCTCCTTTTCGTTCCATTTTGAATGGCTGCAATATTCCTTTGGCCAATAAAGGGCCATTCTCATGAAGTAGACAGGCCGGCCAGACGACATAATCGACCTTCTCCCCGGATTGTGTGTACAAAGAGTACAGGTCAGTCTGAACCGGTGTACCTGTTGTCGGTTTTGGTGCCAAATATAGACGAGGTGTTTGGACATTCATGTACCAAGTGATCGCTGCACATTCTTTGTAGAATTCGATCATCGCGTTTCCCCTTTTTCCTTCTGGAATCTTTACCTTTGCTTGTCTGTCTCTTAGGAAATGCTACAAAAGACATGGGATAATTGCTTTTTATTGAGTAAAATTAATCGCACTGGATCATAATATATAAACCTGGTTCTGAATTAGTAAAGCGTACATTTCTTTGTTCCTTGAATATACGTAGATTGCAAGTCTGTCTTGTAAGAATTTGTAAAGGTTAAACAACAAAAACTATCAAATCGGTTTGATGAAGATTACTGCCATTTTTTATGGTCGCCGTCAGGATCTCGCAGCAAAATGATATGAAGGTCGGTGTTATTGATTATATTGTCACTTCTCGTGTTCTTAATATGAGGACGTGATATAACTGACATAGATATGCATGGAGGATGTTGTTAATGAAGCTGATGACGTCATTGTTTACGGAACACATTGTTTTATTCTACTTTTATTATTATTGTACTTTTTCAATGACCTCCATGTACATATTCCCTTTGTACATATGTTTAAGGTTTTGTTTACAATTAGAAATCTCTTGTTGTTTTAAGGGTTCCAGTATAGTATTGATGTAGAACTTCATATGATAAAATGCAGTTTTGTTCATGGATAGCCGTCAATTCGACCTGTTTCAATCATGCCCGGTCGGCCTTGAAGTCTAGAGCACTACACAGAATATGAGCCTCGGTTTACTAGTCGTGTCGTGTGCAACATGACCATATATATATATATATATATATACGATTGCTTATCTTGGGGCATACCTTGGTAAAATGTTCGCAATGATAACTTCTTTCTGGCTGCGCTTGGATCCTCAGAAAACTTTGAGAAGTAATATTCCCATGTCCCCGAATAAAATATCATGATATCAGTAGTGAATTGAAAGTCAGCTAACTTGCGATAATTTCGGATTGGTTACGTATTGATTGCACTCTAAACGCCTGAAGATCTTGTTTATGTGCCGCAAACAGATATAAGCTTCGTACGGAAATCATCAATGTCAAAGCGAGGATCAAAGGTTTTAAACTAACGATGCTGACTTAAACTCGCCCACCTAAAGAACCTTGCCGTACGGTTTAAACGTAATTGTCAAATTTGAGCATCGGGGGCAAACAGACCTCTGATAAACTTGAAAAACATTCCGAAACGAACTTTTAATCTGTACAGTAACAGTGTGCAATAACTTTGTCCGGATGAAAAAGATTGAGAGAGGATGGAATATTACACTTATTTTGAAAGGCCAATCACAACGTCGCGTCACCCATCAGTTTGTTATTTATGTACCAACTTTTGCCCGTTTAGATAGTCGCTTAAGGCATTGTGTACGATTAACGGACCGCCCCTGAAATGGACGGCCACGTGTAACGTCGCGACGTATCAAAAAAGAGAGATGCGTCTATCTCACCTCCTGAATCGTTTTCAAACGGCGACGGAAACGATAAACAACGCCATTTGTAATGTTAGATGCTGAGTGCGAACAGAACGGAAATATCGGCGTCCTTACGTTGGACCGCAATTTTATCAAAGGCGCGTTAACGTCAACCGAAATGGTGCCATGCATAGGCTTAAAATGTGAATCTATCTACTAATTCAGATTGTTCTCAGTTGGATTACCGTTTAAATGTCTTATTTCTATGTTTAGATACATTGTTTGAACAGTGACCGATTCATCAATCATCCCGATACCATAATATCAGCCCAAGGTATTCCATTGCATATCTGTATACATAAGTTATAGAAATATATAGTACTGTGTGGGACTTACTTGTTGTACTTCAGGAAGTAAAGCAGGAGCTGAAGCTTTCAGCACTTGTCTAAGTAGGTCTGCACACTCCGGCGACAATGGAACTGGTTGCTGATAGATGAGAAATTGAATAGTATGGATGGAATAAGTTCTTTTATATGTATGTGAAAACTAGTGATGGAAATTCATTGCATTAGTCTGTACATGGACATACAGTGTGTCGACACTTCTAGCCTTTAAGGCACACGGGCATGTCCGGTGTTAATGCAAGCGTTTACTGTAAAACAATACACCGTGAATAGCAATGTTACCTGTTAAACTATACGCCATCAATGCCTTTGTTACCTGTATACCGTCAATCCCTTTGTTACCAGTATACCGTCAAACCAAATGTTGACAGTAAAACAACACACCGTCAATCCCAGTGTTGATAGTAAAACAACACACCGTCAATCGCGATATTTACAATAACACACCACACCATCCATCCCAATAATACTAATAAAACAACACACCGTCAATCCCAGTGCTACCTGAAAAACAATACACCGTCAATCCCATTGTAACCATTAATACAATACACCGTCAATCCCAATGTAACCAGTAAAACCATACACCGTCAATCCAAATGTTACCTGCAAAACAATACACAGTCAATCCAAATGTTAACTGCTAACAATACAACGTCAATCCCCGTGTTACCTGTATAACAATACACCGTCAATCACAATGTTACCTCTAAAACAGTATACCGTCAATCCAAATGTTACCTGTATAACAATACACCGTTAATCCAAATGTTACCTGTAAAACCATACACCGTCAATACCTGTGTTACCTGTATAACAATACACCGTCAATCGCTGTGTTACCTGTAAAACAATAAACCGTCAATTCCATTGTTACCAGTAAAACAATACACCGTCAAACTCATTGTTACGTGTAAAACAATACACCGTCAATCCAATGACAATGACAATGACAAGTTTTTATTCTCGCAAACTGGTTACAGTGTAGAGAATTATATACATATATATATAGTACAGTTTACATATAAATAATGGTGTTAATGGCCAGTGGTAATTCGCTCAATAATGTGCTTAAGGAATTGTATAAGTGAAATTAGTTCTTCATTATTGACATAATTAATTAATGTATTAAACTTTAAAGTACTAGGACATTCAAAATAGTATCTCGACATACATTTTCTTCTGTTTCGCACTATCTGGTGGTCATTACAGTTAAATAAATAATGATATTAGTCTCCAATTTCATTTAGGTCACAAAACATACATTTTCTATCTTCTCTTGGAATGTTATTCCATATACCACATTCAATAGGAAATTTTACATTACAAATTCTAAATTTACAATAAACATTTGCTAGTCTTGGAGGGAGATCTAGCAGGTATTTATCTAGTACTAAGTCATTTTTAAAAATTCTGTAATTGGTCCCTTTAGATGAATTGAAAACATCGCTTCTCCAATTATTAATGAATTTATCTTTGAGTGTATGGAAAATTGTATTTTTCAACCATTGGGTACTTTTGAATTCTTGACTTTCAAATATATTTATTAAATTACATTCATCAAGGATATTTTTAATACAATTCAACCATTGAGTATTATAGTTTATAATAATTTTATACATTTTATTACTTAACTTATTAGGTATTGGTTCTAACAATTTGGCCCAAAATCCAATCATTCTAACTTTGATATTTATACTCAGAGGAAATCTTCCTAATTCGCGATAAATCATGAAATTGGGTGTCGATGTTTTCACCTGAAGAATATGTTTACAGAATTTTAAATGTAAACGTTCTAAAAGTCCCGATGTGGCCAATAAAAAAAACACCGTCAATCCCAACATGACCAATGAAACAATACACCTATATAGGGGGCATTATCGTTTTGATAGATTAATACCAATGTGGACAATGGAACAATTAATTACTCATTAACAAGGACCAATTTCATATTGCCAATAAAAGATACAACGCTATTACGGACAAATCCTGATGTGGTCAGAAAAATACCGTCACTGCTGCGATTAACATTGAAATAGTACTTCAAAGTCATACAAAAAGTAAAACATTGACATGGTACTTCAAAGTCATACAAAAAGTAAAACATCGAAATAGTACTTCAAAGTCATACAAAAAGTAAATCATCAATATGGTACTTCAAAGTCATACAAAAAATAAAACGAAGAGGGAAAACACCAAAAATAAGAATGACATCAGAAATCGCCCGAAAATCCGGATGTGAAACAGGTACCCAAGAAGATTGAGCGTTACCTGAAGTCAGATGCAGCAGATGTCACGATGTTTCATATCAAATCCAATTATGCAGGCTACAATGACACACGATGGCCAACTCAATCATTGTAGATACTAAAATAGTTGGAAATCAGGTTTTGATGCCGACCGTAAAATAGATTTAGGCAGCGTGCTGACATGATTATAGACTTTTCAGACATTGTATTGCTATGCTATTAATGTCTTATCTAAAAATTCGGACATACCATTTTGTCTCCTGTGTGTTCAGATTGCAGTTGCGTTTGATCTCTATTTCCGCTTTTGGCAGGAAGGGTTTTCGCCAAATCAACCTGTCTGTTTTGCATGACCGCTCCATGCGTATCTGTCTTTTCTATGTTTGTCAGCATCTGTGTGCTGTGTTCTAATCGTTGCAGCTGATTTTCTGATATGCTGGCCGTGAAATCAAAACTTTCCTGATAAAAGAAATTATTAGATGACATCAGTAAAAACAAAACACGTTATAGCTATCGCAACAATATTATATGACACAAACTATAATACCATGATTGCACCCCACATCTCGAAATAACAGCGATCTCTCCCCTTTTCTGACAACAGGTGTGTTACAAGTAACTGTAATACCAACCACATCTTCTAAGTAAACGATGTACTGAGCAAAAATGTGTGTTTACTTATTTTGATACCAAAGTGGCCATCTTAGATTCCTTGTAGATCCAGGTCATTATTATTGTATTTGTTCAGGACAACGGAATGCATGTATATCACATAGTAAAATACACCTGGTGGGACTTGGCAATTATTTAAATTTTATCTCCATCAGGGGTCAGCGCTGCTTATTTATTATTATTTGGAATTCATAGAAATAATAATACATACAGTGTAGTCAGGACCATACGATAAGTTTAAAATGTCTATGGTTTTATCTTCTCTTGTTGTTTTTGGTCCAGAAACCGAATACAGTAAAAATAAGAATTCATCCTGGGGTTAAACATAATCTATGGCATTTCTTGAAATCCTAAGCGTTTAGAGATGTCATGAAATTATATAGATATATCAAATGAATGAGCTACTATAGCACTTAATTTATTGTGAAATGCTAACTGCATTTTTATCAAATCAAATACCTTGCGGCAAATAGTTGTAATTATTTAAACCTTGAAAAGAGATTTTAAATATACAATAGCTAATAAAGTGTACAATTGATAAATGGTGTTCATTTTGGAGACGACCAATACGGTTAAGCCAAAGTCTATTCTATTGGGTGAAATTGCATATTCTTAATAATGTTTACTCACGTCCAGGGATCCGAGGAGAATATCTATGGCTTTTATTTCAGAACACGAATGATCTGACGTCAGCTCCGTAAATGCATCAGTCCATTGGTTGGCATACAACTCTTTAAAACGCTCGGCTATTTTGGTCGGTCTGTTATCAGTACTTAGATCGGTGATGGCTGGGTTGTTCTGTCGTAGTTTTTGACCTGCTATTTCACTAAGTCTGGAAAATAAACAATATTACTAAATAACGGTTTTCAATAATATTTCTATCAAAGGAGGGGGATTCAAATCGGATCAGTACCCAAAAAGGATCATTCTTTGAAAAATTCTTTAAAATCTTTAGATATTTTCGCTTCCCCGATCATACGCGACAAGGAATTGGGTCACATGCCCAATCACGTAACTTTTCTTTGGGTTTCTGGTTTCCTCACATACATAATCGTATTAAGACTCCTGTGCGTTTCTGGGGAACGCGTAACGTAATCGTTGTAAAGTAAATAAAAAAGGGGTAATTTTCCTATTCCATTCCTAGTATATTTGACAGTGATCCAGGCTCTACCTCTATATACATTTGGTAGGCAACTCGCATAATATTTAAATTACAAAATTACAAAATGTTTCATTACACCCAAAATGGCCAAGTGTAAAAAACATGTCGTGGAATAAATAAAACCCCAAAATCAACCGGCCAGTCAGTAACCGTTTGTTATTAGTTAAGAACAATAAAGGTTCGGTTTATTAAAATTTACTCAAGTTCAGAGTTACAACATTTTGATGTTCAAATAATAGCATAAAAACGTGAACTGTTAATCAAGATGGAATTGAAATAACAAGTATATTATTTCAAACCTGTTCAAGGCCTCATCCTTTTCCCTTGTGACCTTACAATTAGCCATGGCTTGTTTATTCAGTTCTTCTCTTTGTCTCTCAATTTCTTTTTTCAGTTTATCCATGTCAGCAGCATGTTGCGATTCTTGTTTCTGATACTCTAAGTTTTCTGCCACTTTTGAATCATATTTCATCCCTAAGTTACTTATTTCATCTTGGAGCTTTTGTCGTTCATCTGTTGTTAGCGATCCATCCGGTGGACGTTTTGACGGCGTCTGTCGTGCATCTGTCGTTGGCGGTACATTCTGGGGATGGTGTCTCGGCTGTTGCCCGTCTGTTCCACCATGCTGTGCAACAGAAGTGCCTTGTTGTTGTTGCTTAGTTTTGCTTGGAGTTAAATGTTCCTGAAATGTTTAACAAACTTGTTAATTAAAATGTGCTTGTCATCGGAAAATATCGCCATGTTGGATAGAGTCACTTATTCATGAATGCTAAAGTGTGATATACATTAAGGTCCTAAGCAACATGTATTTCAGCCGTCAACATTTTAGTATATTATATTACACTTTCCCATACAACAGAAAAGGATTCAGACAAGCGTTTAATATAACAATACATACGTAAAAATGCATTGAAATATGAAGTGATATCGAATACATGCTCTAAAGAATGTCAACACACTGTGTCTTTCCCTTAAAGTAGATTTTAATAGTTTATAGGCAGACTCATAAAATAATCACAAAGTTTGTTTAAATAATACATGTAAATATCACATTCAATATACTAGGCTCGTGAATTCAGAATCAGTAGATAACATAACATACAAACGCCTTTAGCCCGTTACAATCACGGTTAAGAGTTCGAGATAATTTTGTTCAATGAAGCAAGACTTTCTTAACATGACAACGCCAGAAATGTAATTCTGTAATTAGTTGAAACGGAATACACAAAATACACTTTATTCAAAAGATATTCAATTGCTCACGAAATCCAATAACGTTACTGACTGATCGATATGTTTGGCCAGTTTCCGGGCTTTCACCATGACTGTTGAAGTCCTTGGTGATAATATGGTTATAGGTTATACATGTATACCAACAATGACTACAACATAGTATACGCGCTTCGACGAATAACGTGAAAGTGACGTCACCAGTTACCTGAATAGAAAATGTATACAATGATTTACTTTTAGATGTAAATGATTAAAGGTAGAAACACTACCATTTCAAATCCGAAAACATAATATTGCAACAAGAACCATATCTCATGATTATATCTTAATGATATGAGTAGATACATACCATCCAATACTGAATCTGCACTTGCATTTCACAAAACAGTGTAGCCAAACCTAGTGTTTGATCTGGTTTTTCATTGTGCTTCGCAGAATGGGTTTTTTCTATATGCTTACAATCCCTTTTCCACTCATTTGTCATTGTTAACATGTGTTGAGAAAACCTCGTCTCTTTTGGTAGCTCTTTGTAACCAGTAGTGTAAACATAGACACCATAAGTGGACTGAAATAAACGAAGTATGTTTTATAGTAGTGAGAGATTGTTTATAATCTAGAGTATATGTAGTACCATTGACTTTGATGTGCTTCAGTAATATAGCTAACCTTATTTCCTGACAGTGATCACATCTACCCGATAGTTTACTTTCACAGCTAATGTCTTTTGAAAAAAGATTTTGTGTGAATGAAAAATATGACCCCTTTCATTTTTACATAAGTAAAAACGGAAAAATAAATGGCATATGCGAAACTTGAACATCATCGAATGTATTGCAGCAGAAGTCGGTTATAGACATTTTAATATCATTGGATATAGTTTCAGTATTCCGTTTCTACCTTGAATACCATATGAATATCAGTCACTTTAAATCGATGCATGAACAAAATCTCCAACTTAAATTCTGAAGAATTGGAAACAAGTGTATTGCGGAATTGTCGAATGACGTATTCATGATAATGATAAAAAGAAGAATAGAACGAAATACCTGTAGTTGTTTCGTTTGTTCCGCCATTCGCGAAACTATGGTAAGAACCATCATTCGTTGATCCGGTGCTGGCTTTGGATTTGATATTATAAAGTTCTTTATATCCTTTTCCCAACCATCAAGAATCGGTTGCACATGTTCTTTTATGAATGAGCTGATTGACTCGTGTTTAACACGGTCGGTGTTGGACATATGTTCATTCTGTCTTGTCCATTTGTTTGCCATTTCGGTTTAATCTGCCATGCAAAGAGTTAAAAGCAAATGAGGGTTTTTTCAAGTTAACAAATTTAATCAATCCGATTTAAAAGGAAGTGGGCAACAGGCAAAGCTGGGGGTACATCTCAAACAATAGCATATAACATTCAAAATAAGTTTGTGTTTTTCTACATATCTCTGAACACAAACACGAATAGCAGAATTAAGATCTCCACTAAGGCAATTACTTCCTTTAGTGAATATATTATCATTTAACATTAAATGTTAATACAGGTTTAAGTTAAGTCCGAAATTAAATGTAGATTTAAATGGATGTCAAGCTGTAAATGAGACAGAGATATTATCATATTTGGCTTTGAGTCATGTATCTATGTACAATGCAGAAAGAAGTGACTCACATCGTTACCGCATATACAAGAGGGATTATCAATAAGATGGTTTCAAAAGAGATCAAAGCTCAATTGACTTGCACGATTTCGAAGTTGACATAATAATATGTTAGAAAATCTAGTCCCTTCGTATTAAAAAATAAAAATTGTACATATATCTGAAATATTTTGGGGTTTAGCATGATGAACACGTTGTTTTGAGTTCACTAATAGAAGTTGAACAGGTTGAACTGATCATGGGGAATAAAACGTCTGAATGGCGTCACGGGTACAGAGGGTGTCGGGCGTTTACAAGAATACTAAACACTACTTCCTTATTTGTTTGTATATGTATGGTGTTAAATCAACACTCGGATGACTGTTATTCATTGCCAGAGGCTCTGTTTTACACCTTATCCCCGTTAGCAAAAACGGTTAACGATATGATCTAGAATTGTATGTATTTATATATTAATAATAAGGTACACATACACAGTGTGGGGAATAGCGTAAGCATATGTAGGTTTAAATAAAAAAAAAGTTGAATGTTTGTTTGATTTCTTGCATTAACTGATTAAGGGAAGTAAACTTGTGTTAAGTACGTAAACTGAGAGACTGTTAGAGGCTTATTTTACGTCCTCATTCCATGCAATTAACCAAATGAATATGTTTAAAGTACTATATTTATATTCATCCGTTAGTCCCTTTCTTCAACATTGTGTTCCAATGTTTGAAACTTCTTCTTTACATCATTTAAACACTGAAAACATAAAATTTCTTTTGCATTCCTAGCCCGCTTTACTTCAAAAATAAGAAAAGAAATGAAGAAGTGGTAAATATCACGCTGTAGTACCTTGTATTTTGATTATACAGACCATGGCAAAAGTATCACGGCTGTCTCTACGTAAAGTTGTTTAACATTGTATATGGAGGTATCAATATGCAGACTTATACCTTATTTAACTAACATGGACGTAGTTTCTTTTCGATTCGTGGCTGAAATAATCTGTCTTTTTAATTCAGGTATTAAAAGAATCAACATAATTAGCGTCATACATTTTCACTTGCATGGCTTATTCAGGCAGAGTGAAACGTAAAATCTGAACAAGTACTAAGCTAGTATAAAGCAGTTTTAAAGGAGTAAGAAATGTTTTATATCAGGATATGATACATATAGCTATTGAATTATTTTTGCCCCATCATTTATTTACAGCTTTTGTATTTCAGTAACACACCAACGGGTCAAATGAATAAATTCACAAAACATATCGGTTCCACACCAACGGGTCAAATGAATAAATTAACAAAACATGTCGGTTCCACACCAACAGGTCAAATGAATAAATTAACAAAACATGTCGGTTCCAATAACGACATGAAGTAACACATGAAACACTACGATAAGTCAAAATAAACAGTTCAAGATTGCTAATTCTTCTTTAAAGAGAGATGGACGTAAAACTAGAAAAAAAACATCTGATTCAATTACATCTGTTCTGATATCTTAAGAAATATTAATCTGTGGGCATTAATGCAACGTTAAATAAATGATAATAATGAAAATAGGATTTCTGTTTTTTTCTAAGATTTTTTTTGGGATACAAGACCCTTGCATTTAAAATGTGAAAAAAAAAATATTGAAATATTTAACTCGAAGAAAACATGCCTACTACATGCATTCATCTTTCCTGACTATGTAATTCAATATTTATTTAAGCAATAACATAAAATGAGATAACGACATTCAAAATAGGCGTTCAAATATGACATACTTAAGTATCTGTAGATATGACAGAGAAGGCCATCCGCCATAGTTTAGTGTACTTTCGGTTTTGGTATACTTATTCAAGAGTTTATTAAAACCGGTTTTGCCTGTTTATATATAGATACGAATGACTTGTTTTAATCATACAAAATGTTGTGCAATGGAGCTTCAAAACTCTTTATTTATGTGTAAAATGTCCCTCTTTGCTATCATTGATGTATTTATCTAGTGTATATCCTACTTTTGTTAGCGGATATGGCTTGTCCCTGACCTAACCAAGCGAGTCGACAAACGGAACACAATTGAAAGGTTACTTGCATGAAATAAAGCTACTGATTAAATCCAACAATAATGTACACGAGAATAATGAGGTGTCCCTTACTTGAAAGCCCTCCTTAACGTGCTAAGTCTTGTATATGCGAATCCCCTGAGTAAGTTTTCCTCTAGCCGTCTGTCATCAATCTAACCGTGTCTGTATGACCAAGCTGTGTATACGGTACCTGTATTTCCTCTGTAGCCGTCTGTCATCAATCTAACCGTGTCTGTATGACCAAGCTTTGTATACGGTACCTGTATTTCCTCTGTAGCCGTCTGTCAACCGTGTCTGTATGACCAAGCTGTGTATACGGTACCTGTATTTCCACGAAAAATTGACTTCCCGGTAATACGATTTCACGTCAAAGGTCTAGTGACGTTATATCAAGTATCGGTGGCTGTCGGCAACCCGTTCAGCTCTAACACATCGATAGCAAAACTAGATATGAATAAGAACTTTCGTAAAAAGTTGAATTGATAGAGATCTTCAAGGTAGGCCTATTTTGTTTTTGTATATTACATCAATGAATCAAAAAGTTTAATTCAAAAGTTGGTCCTCGGATGGGGAAGTATTGAAAGTTGTTTTTTTTTAAGTCTGAAAAATCCCGTCACTTTCATAGATATAGTGAATATGGTTATATTTGCAGTATTATATTAAGAATACAGAATATCTCAACAGTTCAAATATTCATATTCAATTGGTTTTATATCTATTCCATGCATTTTTGCTACTAAAAATCATTTACTCATCATTATTTTTTCCGTTTTCCGTTTTGCCGACTTAGGGAAATACGGGCAATTTTCCGCCATAGCTCTTTGGGGAAGAGAGCGTGTGTAGAACAGCATTTCAAATTTTATCTGATTTTACAGAATATACACTTTTGAACATGTAAATCAGCACGGAATCACGCCCCGAAAACAGGGACTGACCGGCAGAACACTTTTACATGCACTCAAGTTTGCAGAAATTGAATTTGCTGTAACTTTATACGAAATCTCTCTGAAAAAATGGTATTCCACAGCCTGCGGAACCTAGAAGGGATTCCTTTCCCCCTATATACTTACCAGCTTCAGAGACTAAAGTCTCAATTCATAAACGCTATAAACTATCGTGTGAGAAAAAGGAAATTGGTTGCTTAGGTTTGTCGTCCTTCAAAGATGTTTGGTTGAAATGCGTCCCCGAGTTAAAAATAAGAACACCCCGCACAGACGTAGCCACATTTTCGAGAGAGTGCGAAAACAGATCGTTGATGCAGTTTCAGTAACAGAAAAAGAAAAGCTAGCTGCCCTCCAGAAGCATTTAGAGGATGCTGGAAAAGAGAGACAATTATACCGCAATTAAATAATAAAATGGTTTATCATACGAGCTCAGTGTATGAAATTTATTAAATTTACATCAAAATAAAGAAAGATGGAAGCAGCTAGGTTATTGTGTATCAACAATATTATAGACAAAATAGAAAACCACATTTGCGAAATTGTTGAAAATATTTCACCCTTGAAAACTGAAATCTGAATGAGCTATTTTTGTGCCCGTACACAGCTTCAAATAGTACATCACCGTTATTGATAGGACTGAAACAGTTAATCAACACCTCTTCTGTAAAGTATATCAGACCTGGTACGATAAAATCACTTTATCAGTAAAATTCAGCTCTGAAAAGGGCATTATGTAATGTTTATTTTTTACGTGACATGTCTGTTCATTGTGCTCTGATTTTCCTGTTCAAATACATATCACTCAGTGTGCGAACAGCCAAGGTAAAATGATAGAGGTAAAACTTCATACCGTTGTTAGTGAAATGCTGTACATCATGAAGGGATAACAAAGGCTTTTGTTCAAAGATAGATTCTAAGGAAATTTTCAGTAACACCTTAGGTATCCATCATTTTAATGAATAAAAACATGGTAATTTTTAAGGAGTATATTTTTTAAACTTTTCTCCCTTACCTTAGGATCAAACCAACAAATCTGGAACAACCAGATATTAATATTAAGGATATGTATTACGATTTGGTCAATCTTAAAATTCTTGGATGAAAGGCCTTCTAATAATCTAACCGTGTATGTAATATTAACCATATAAACCACAATACACGACTGACTCTCAATTATTTATTATATTGTAGACTTTCACGTTGTCGCACCAAACAAGCATGGATTTTGAATATTCCACATAACCTCTCCTTTTTGTGGATATTTTTTTATGAATTTGGTGCAAAAAATATCGTAGTTTCGGGGAGGAAGGCTGATATTTTTTTCCATTTTAGCCAAATCGGTATTCTAATGAAGCTAAAGAGCAGATGGTTACGTTCTCGGTCTTTGAATTTCAAATTTAGTTGGTATTCTAATGAAGCTAAAGAGCAGATGGTTACGTTCTCGGTCTTTGAATTTCAAATTTAGATATATTGATGTTGTCTTGGAATAATAAAAACGTTCGAGAACGAATTCCATTAGATCCAATTAATATCTCAAAATGCTTGAAATTTGAGGTACATTATATCCTCTCCTCCAGTTTATACTTCTTAGCATTTACCTACAACATGAGAACGATATGGTCACCTCAGACAGAGAGACAGACAGACAGACAGAGAGACAGACAGATAGATATACAGACAGAGAGACAGACAGACAGACAGTGAGACAGACAGACACACAGAGAGACAGAGAGACAGACAGACTCTGTGTCGGCTCCTTTCCGTCCCAGAAAGCTATTATTTTCATACGTTACTTTTACGTACAACATGAGAACTATATGGTCACCCCAGACAGAGAGACAGACAGACAGACTCTGTATCGGCTCCTTTCCGTCCCAGAAAGTTATTATTTTCAGACGTCACTTTTACGTACCAACGTTCCTATTCTCAGTAGTAACATTATGGTCCCTCCTTGTTAAGAGTGATGTATGTTCCAAGTAATACTAGACTATATGGGCAAGTCATATATTAATCCATTGACATACGAGAATATTGGCTCTTGCGACTTCTTTCTTTTACATAAAAATCTGAGATATGTGGATATCTAATAGGTGAAGAACATTGTATCCAATCAGTTGAGAAAGGAAATAGCCAGGGTGGTGACAAAGTTTTGTTGCAAAAGAGAACACCGGTAGGCAAGAACCAATTGTTTTTCAGCACTAAATTGTCTTATTTACATGTTTAATGACTCTTTTAAGCCTAGAATCACAAATATATCACAGTACTTTTTTATCTTCAGGTGGCTCTGCGAGAGGAAAAACCTTTCTTTATTACAAAGATAAATATGTGCACTTTGAAAAGAAAAGATTTTGTCCTTATTTTTTTTATATGTCACCCTTTAATAGGAGGAAAAAAGTTAACAAGATGTCAGACTTTGTTATAACCACTTTAAGCCCACCATCAGATGATGGACTATTCAAATCCAACCCTGCATGTCGGGGATCGAGAAAAGAATACATCTACTGTTACCCACTGCATGTATCGTAAGAGGCGACCAATGTCGAGAACCCCCCTGCAAAAAACGCGACCAAAATCAATCTGCTGCACCAATTGCAATAGTTAGGATCTAACATTTTTCTCCACTTCTAACTACCTTTATTTCCTAGTGCCTTGCTTGGCAATACCTCGCGTTTAGCTTTAATGTTGAGCGTTCACCCAGGTGAGGAGGCAAAGGGCCTTTCCCCTGGCCGGGACATACCAAAGTCCGTAAAAATGGTAGTTGTTATTCTCTGCTTAACATTCAGCATTAAGGGTAAAGGCAACAACTGGTTCACCCGTTGCCGGTATAATGTGACCGGGCGGAATTCTGTGCTGGGTGCCTTCGGCATGGTATTCATCAGATCAGTAGTATCACAAGGGGGCAAGTGAACCATCGTGCCCTGTCTCCAGCACACATGCACGCATCCACAACATACATGGAGGCACATACCTAAATGTCCTAAGCTGTTAATAGGACGTTTAACAGAACAAGAGGCCCAAAGTGCCTGTATCGCTCACCTGTTTCTTTTGTTACATAAAACTGACATATAGGTAACTTCAGAACAAATTTGGTACCTAGAACACAAGACATTTTAACATCTCTTAAACGGTTCTATGAAATTGTTTGAAATTTGAAATTTGGAATTTGAAGCTTTAAACCCACGTTGACCAGCTTCACACAACTGATCTATATACCATACCCAAATATTATAACTCTAGTCAAAATGGCTCTTAAGATGTTGTTGTTTGAAATTTTTAACATATTTGACCCCTGTGACCTTGAAACAAGGTCAATGTCGTTTTAATGAGGACACTTTATAGCACTTCATCCCAGGTACCTACTGGCCAAAAAACATGACCCTGGGCCTTATGGAACTTGAGAAGATTTTTAAAGTTCTTAACCTATGTTAACATTTGACTCCTGACAAGCACTTAAAGTTGACCTTTGACCTCATTACTGTTATAAAGAAAACTATTCACACAGCTGGTCTACATAACATACCCAAGTATTATGACTCTAGTCCAAATGGTTCTTAGGATGTTGTTGTTTTAAGCGTTTACCATATTTTACCCCATGTGACCTTGAAAGTAGGTCAAGGTCATTTTTATGAGGAAACTGTATAGCACTCCATCCCAGGTACTTACTGGCCAAATATCATGACCTTTGGCTTTATGGAACTTGAGAAGATTGTTAAAGCTTATAACCCATGTTGACCATTGACCCCCACTAGCACTTTTAGTTGACCTTTGACCTCATTACTGTAATTTAGAAAATAAATTGCACTGCTGGTCTACATAACTTACCCAAGTATCATGACTCTAGTCCTCTTTAAATATTGTTGTTTGAATTGTTTAACATTTGACACCTGTGACCTTGAAAGTAGGTCAAGGTCATTTTAAATGCAGAAATTCAATAGCATGCAGATTTAAGTCTGGAGCGTATTTGATTCTAGCATGTCTGGGTCAAAGAAATTTTAGCACCTCTGACTCCTCATTCTGGGCTCCACCCTTCAGCCCCTGGGGATTGGTTACGGTCAAATGCTCTAAGCATCTACCATCTGCTCATGCTTATATACAATGTAATTCCAATCGGTTTTGAATTTCAAACAGAAAATGAACCAACAGAAACTACAGTAAATTTCACCTCATACCCAGGGGGGAGCATGAAGTACGGGAGTTAATGAAATTTTAAGTTTTGATAACCACCTTTAAACCCTTACATCTATATACAAAGAGTATTTGTGTGCAGCATATTTGGGTCTGAAAAAGATTGTTGAAATTTAAGCTAATTTGACCCCTTTTGTCCCCACCCCTCAGCCCCTTGGGGTAGGCCAGGGTCAAAGTATTCATAGCATCAAACTTTCAACTCATGATTATAATTCCAATCAAGTCTGAATTATTTCCAATAGAAAATGAATAAAGTATTCCCAAAAGTATTCTCAAAAGTATCATTTCCCTAAATAAACAATAGTTATAACTTTAGCCCATTCCCAGGGGCGAACGTGGAGCCTGGGGGTAATGGAATTCATAATTTTGACAAAGCATCTCAACATCCTTCCACGTATGAAGAGTATTTGTTTCCAGCATAACTGGGTCTGAAGAAGATTGCTGAAATTTAAACCAATTTGACCCTTTTGGGCCCCGCCCCTCAGCCCCTTAGGGTGGACCAGACTCAAAATGTTCATAGTGTCAAACTGTCATCTCAGTGCTATAATTTAAATCCTGTTTTATTATTTCCAATTGAAAATGAACAAAATATACCCAAAAGTATCATTTTCCTATATAAACTATAGTAAACTTCACCCAGGGTGCTCCCAAGGGGCGAACATAAAGCCTGGGGGTAATGAAATTCACAATTTTGACAAAGCACCTCAACATCCTTCCACGTATGAAGAGTATTTGTTTCCAGCATAACTGGGTCTGAAGAAGATTGTTGAAATTTAAACCAATTTAAACCAACTCCAGACCTTTCTATCTATGAAGACTTCTACTTCTACTTCTAAATGGTACTGACCAACTTCAACAATTTGAAGATAAAATGTCAGACGAGGAGTGAAACATGGAAAGAGATCGTTTTTAAAAGATACGAGATGGTCTAATTTGCGTTGGTCTAATTTGCGTTTGAAAAGTGACGGTAGAGGGCCGATTTGGATAATTCCGTTGTGGGGCTCGAAATAATGTCAGGTCGGAGTTTATTCCACTCGGGTATAGTTCGAGGGAAGAATGATGCCTTTTTGGTCTGGGTTTTTGAGTGGGGAATTTGATACGATATTTGATATGTTCGGGATTTTCTAACTGTACTTATTTATATGTGAATCCCATTTTACTTGAAGAGTATTGGTTTCCAGCATAACTTGATCCTAATGATGTACTCTTCAGAGATTTCAATCACACTTGTCACCTTAAAAGTGATCTAAAATAAAGCTACAGGCAAAATGTCAGTATTTATGGCTATAAGTCATTCAAAAGAACCTGTTAAAAGATTTTAAAACATTTGGCCCCTGTGACCTTGAAAGTCGAACAAGGTCATTACTTTGAACAAACTTTATAGCCCTTCATCTCAGATTGCAACTTGCCAAATATCACCACCATAGAATTTTTGTCTTTAATGAGATTAGGTCATTTAAAGGTTTTTTTTAACATACCTGACCAGATGTGATCTTGAAAGTGGGTAAAGGTTATTCAATAGGCCTTCATCCAAGCATGCAACTGCCAAAATATCAACATTCTGGGCCTCATGGTTATTCAGAATTAGTCGTTTAAAGACTTTTAACATATTTGACTCCATTTATTTGAACAAACTTGGTAGCCCTTCATCCTACCATACTACTGACCAGATATCATCACCCTGGACCTTCTGGTTATTCAGAAGAAGTTGAAATTTGATCCCTGTGACCTTGAATAAAGGTGAAGGTCATTCATTTTAATAAAATTGGTAGTCCTTCATCCCAACATGCTACTGGCCAGGTATCATCATCCTGGGCCTTTTGGTTATTCAGGAAAAGTTGTATGAAGATTTTAAACATATTTGACCCCTGTGACCTTAAATATCAGTCAAGGTCATTCATTTTAACAAACTTGGTAGCCCTTCACCCTAGCATGCTACTGGCCAGATATTATTCTGGGTCACATGGTTATTCAGAAGAAGTCATTTAAAGATTTTAAACATATTTGATCCCTGCGACCTTGAATATAAGTCAAAGTCATTTATTTGAACAAAATTGGTAGTCCTTCATCCTAACATTCTACTGGCCAGATATCATCATCCTGGGCCTTTTGATTATTCAGAAGTTGTTAAAAGATTTTAAACATATTTGACCCGTGACCTTGAATATACGTCAAGGTCATTATTTTCAACGAACTCGATAGCCCTTCATCCCAGCATATTAAGGGCTAAATATCATCATCCTGGGCCTTTTGATTATTCAGAAGTTGTTAAATTTTTTTTAACATATTTGACCCGTGACCTTGAATATAAGTCGAAGTCATTTATTTTAACAAACCTGGTAGCCCTCTATCACAGCATGCTACTGGCCAGATATCATAACCCTGGGGTTTTTGGTTATTCAGAAGAAGTCATTTAAACATTTTGAACATATTTGACCCCTGTGACCTTGAATTATATTCAAGGTCACAAGGGTCAAATATGTTTAAAATATTTTGAATATGCGTGAAGGTCATTTATTTGAACAAACCTGATAGGCCTTCATCCAATCATTTCATTGGCCAAATATAATCATCTTGCAACTTTTGGTTATTCAGAAGTTGTTCAAAAGTTTCCAACATATTTGACCCCTGTGACCTTGACTATAAGTCAAGGTTATTCACTTTAACACACTTGGTAGCCCTTCATCCCAGCATGCTACTTACCAAATATCTGAACAAACTTAGTAGCCTTTTTCCTAGTATGCTACTGGCCTGATATCATCATCCTGGATCTTATGGTATTTCAGAAGTCATTTAAAGGAATTTTTAGACATTTGACCCCCAAGACATTGAAAATAAGTGAAGGTCATTCATTGGAACAAATTTGGCAGCCCTTTATACCAGCATGCTACTGTCCAAATATCATCACCCTGGGCATTTTGGTTATTCATCAGTGGTTTAAAGGTTTTAACATATTTGACCCCTGTGACCTCGAATATGTGTGAAGGTCATTTATTTGAACAAACTTGGTGGCCCTTTATCCCAGCATGCTGCTGGCCAAATATCATCATCCTGGGCATTTTGGTTATTCAGAAGAAGTTTTATAAAGTTAAATATTGACGCCAGTCGATGGATGATGTGCCACGGCATAAGCTCACTTGGCCCTTTGGGCCAGGCGAGCTAAAAAAAAAGACTAATTCAAAGGACATTTTGAAAATGTGTATTTCTGTGTATTTCTTGCGCTTCACAAAAGCCAAAATTTCACCTTTTTTGACGCTAGATTGATCACTTAAATCGTCAGTGAGTTGCCATTTTTAGATCACCTGCTCTAAAATTATACTATCAAATAAAATTTTAAAATTTTCAATTAAGTGAGCCTGTGGCGAGCTAAAAGTAAAATGAAAAAATTTGTGACGTGTTTCATGAATTTCATGTGAAAGAAAATGAGTGCAAGATCCTTTTTATCACATACCGGTTAATCAAGATTTGTGGCATTTATTCGTGTAACACAACAATTTTCATGTAACCTTAATTAAAATGTAAAAAGCCGCCATTTTAACTCCAGTGTGCAAGTCTGTGACGTCATCTTCTTTTCCTAGGCGTGACGACAAAATTGAAACAATTGAAACTTACAACCAATCACAGGGCTGATAGGTCATATACATGTAATATTGCATGGGTTAATAGTATTAACCCATGTTACGCAAAAAAATATGACATGGGTATATTCACTGCATAACACAGTACATCATGTGATAAAAACTAATACTTTGAGTTTCAATCTTTGACTTCTGATCATTTATTACTGACCATTCCTGAAATTCTGCAATGATGATGAGCATCAGTATATTCAATGTGTTAATATTGCTAAGTTCAGTTTTTTTCTAACCGGTTCTTTATTCTTTGTACTTCTTGAGTTACATTTTCTGTTGCACTCTTCAACACTTCAGCATCTGTCACATGAACAAGTAGGCCAGTGCTGATACAGTCGAGTTCAAAATCTAATCCGGATTCCAATTTCAATCTTTGTATGTTTTGTCCTCCTTTTCCAATGATATTTCTTACAATGTAAGCATGAATGTCAACATCTTCATCTGTAAACACTTTTTCAATGCAGTTTCTCCTTCTCTGGACTTCTTTTGTTACTTGTTCTGTTGCACTCTTCAACATTTCAGCATCAGTCACACGAACAAGTAGGCCCGTGTTGCTACTGTCGAGTTCAAAATCTAATCCGGTTACCAATTGCAATCTTTGTATGTTTTGTCCTCCTTTTCCAATGATATTTCTTACAATGCAGGCATGAATGTCAACATCCTCATCTGTGAACACTTTTTCTATGCAGTTTCTTATTCTTTGTACTTCTTGTGTTACTTTTTCTGTTGCACTCTTCAACACTTCAGAATCAGTCACACGAACAAGTAGGCCTGTGCTGATACGGTCTAGTTCAAAATCTAATCCGGATTCCATTTTCAATCTTTGTTTGTTATGTCCTCCTATTCCAATGATATTTCTTACAATGTTAGCATGAATGTCAACATCTTCATCTGTAAACACCTTTTCAATGCAGTTTCTCATTCTCTGAACTTCTCTTGTTACTTGTTCTATTGCAATTGTCAACACTTCAGCATCAGTCACATGAACAAGTAGGCCAGTGCTGATTATTTCAAGTTCAAAATCTAATCCAGTTTCCAATTTCAATCTTTGTATGTTTTGTCCTCTTTTTCCAATGATACCGCTACATATTCTAGTATGAATGTTAATATCTTCATCTGTAAACACCTTTTCCATGCAGTTTCTTATTCTTTGCACTTCTTGTGTTACTTTTTCTGTTGCACTCTTCAACACTTCAGCATCAGTCACACTAACAAGTAGGCCAGTGCTGATACGGGAGAGATCAAAATCTAATCCGGATTCCATTTTCAATCTTAGTTTGTTTTGCCCTCCTTTTCCAATGATACTGCTATATATTTCATTATGAATGTCAACATCTTCATCTGTTAACACTTTTTCTATGCAGTTTCTCATTCTCTGAACTTCTCTTGTTACTTGTTCTGTTGCACTCTTCAACATTTCAGCATCAGTCCCAATTACAAGTAGGCCTTTGGTGATACTGTAGAGTTCAAAATCTAATCCGGTTTCCATTTTCAATCTTTGTATGTTTTGTCCTCCTTTTCCAATGATATTTCCTGCAATGCAGGCATGAATGTCAACATCCTCATCTGTAAACACTTTTTCAATGCAGTTTCTTATTCTTTGTACTTCTTGTGTTACTTTCTCTGTCGCACTCTGCAACACTATAGCATCAGTCCCAATTACAAGTAGGCCTGTGCTGATACTGGATAGTTCAAAATCTAAACCAGTTTCCAATTTCAATCTTTGTATGTTTTGTCCTCCTTCTCCAATGATAAGTTTACATATTTCATAATGAATGTCAACATCTTCATCTGTAAACACTTTTTTTAGACAGTTTCTTATCTTTTGTACCTCTTCTGTTATTTTTTCTGTTGCACTCTTTAACACTTCAGAATCTGTCCCAAAAACAAGAAGACTTGGGCCTGTTGGATCTCGATTTGTTTTAGTATCAAGGTCAAAATCAAACCCAGTTTCCAATCGCAACTTTTTAATGTTCTCTCCATCTCTTCCGATGAGAAATCCACAAATGAGTCGATGCACATCAGCATCCGAATCTGTTACCACTTTAGCAGCGTGCTTTCTATCGTTTATAATTCTGGATGTTCCTTGCTCTCCTGTCGCTACGGATGTGGTAGAGTAATTATAATTGAGCCTGCCGACAATCGCACGTGGTTTGCTTATAACTGGGCGCTGAATTGCTTTTCCGTTCCTTGTCAGAGAGGAACACGGCCTTGGTATTTTGAATTTGTATCCTAGGTCTTGGAACAAACATTTTGCATTGCATATTGAACCGAAACTTGCTAGTCCAGAATTGAGAAGCCGGTAACCTCGTGCCCTAATTACCAAACAGCCTGCCATTTTGTTTTTTGTCGTTTGGTGCGACTAATGACCGCAAAAAGGGATTCATAAATCGATATCGCCAGCCAGTATACTATACCCGGCCAGGGACAGCCCCGTAGCGGTTAGACGATTTACAGGAACGGGCAGGAACGGGCGAAATGGGCAGGAACGGACAGAAACGGGCAGGAACGGGCTGCAATCTATTAATTATTATATACACTAATGAATATATATATTAGATACATTTAAGTATCATTATCGGGCATAAGATATATTTGATAAAAGGATTGCAATTACATGATCGGGGG